GTTGGCTTAAAGCTCAACATTCAGAAAACTAAGATCATGGCATCTGGTCCCATCACTTCATGGCAAATAGATGGGGAAACAGTGGAAACAGTGGCAGACTTTATTTTCTTGGACTCCAAGGTCACTGAAGATGGTGATGGCGGCCATGAAATTAAAAGACACTTACTCCTTGGAAGGAAAGTTATGACCAACCTAGACAGAATATTTAAAAGCAGAGATGTTACCTTGCTAGCAAAGGTCCATCTAGTTAAGGTTATGGTTTTTCCAGTAGGCATGTGTGGATGTGAGAGTTGGACTATAAAGAAAACTGAGCCCTGGAATTGATATTTTTGAACTGTGGTGTTGTAGAAGACTCCTGAGAGTCCCTTGGACTTCAAGGAGATCCAACCAGTTCATCCTAAGGGAAATCAATTCTATATGTTCATTGGAAGGACTGATGGTTAAGTTGAAACTCCAATACTTTGGCCACCTAATGCTAAGAGATGACTCATTTGAAAAGACCCTGATGCTGGGAAGGATTGAGGGCAGGAGGAGAAGGGGATGACAGAGGATGAGATGGTTGGATGGGATTACCGACTCTATGGACGTGAGTTTGAGCAAGCTCTGGGAGATGGTGAAGGATGGTGAAGGTTGGCGTGATGTAGTCCATGGGTTGCAAAGTGTTGGACACAACTGAGTGTCCAACAGTAGAGACTCGGCAGGCCAGGACAGAGTTGTTTGGGATATTCAAAATTCTGAAAGACAAAATATGTGACCTAAAATATTTTACTTGAAAATGATATCCTTCTTAAATAAGAAGAGATTGTTAGTTTCCAGAAAATGAAAATATGAGTACAAATTTATAGACAAGTATCAGTGGCTCAGTGGATAAAGAATCTGCCATCGGTAAAAGAAATATTAGACAGGCCATTCTGTTCAATGAATGTTCAAATCAAATCAGAGGAAAAGATCCAAAAAAAATCTAGTCTTAATTGAATATTCATCAGATGATGATGAACTTTCTTAACATTATTTAGAAATTACTATGAATTGATGTCTAACTTCGAGTCCCTGCTTTTGATATTCATGAAAAGAAGTTTTGAAAATCTCATTCTGAAATTTTTTATTTGTTTTGTTTTTTTCTGTAGCTATTTCTTCCCGACCCTGGGATTGAATCCAGGTCTCCTGCATTGAGTGCAGACTCTCCACCCTATGAGCCACCAGAGAAGCTCATCAAAGAAGTGTGGAAACTCATTCTGAGGTGTTTCTCTTTTTCCCTTAATTATTTTATTGACATTATCGACTGTTCTCTTTTTTTTTCCCCCATCAAGGCAGTTTCATTTTGCTTTAATCTTTAATGCAAGGTACATAAATCAAAGTTCAGTCCTACCTAGTATAAATTGATTGGGACCGTCAAGGAGAGATGTTTGGATTCTGAGTTTCATGCTCTTGGTCCAAGCCCAGATTCAGTTTCAGCAAGAGTTGATTATGAAGACTGTGAAAGGCTTCTATGCCCTTTTCATGCTGCATCTATTGTTCTTTGACTCTGGAAGGACCGGAAAGATACTTGTATGGCCCATGGATTTTAGTCACTGGATTAATTTAAAGGTTATTCTGGATGAACTTCACCTTGGTGGGCATGAGATAACTGTCCTTGTACCTTCAACAAGTTCTCTGTTTGATCTTACCCAGATTCCCTTTAACGTGGAGATCCTTCAAATTCCAATAAGTAAAGAAAGTTTCATGGAAGAATTCAATGCTGGTCTCTATACACTCTCTTTTGAACTGCCGAAAGTTTCATGGTGGGAGAGGCAAGTACAAATGAAAAAACTGCTGAAAGATTTTTTAGAAACAGCCAGAAGAATTTGTGATAGTGTTGTCACAAACAAGGAATTGCTCAGCAGGCTTCAGGCAGCTAAGTTTGATATCTGTATTGCTGACCCTTTAAGCTTCTGTGGGGAATTAGTGGCTGAGCTTCTCAATATTCCATTTATATACTCCTTTCGGTTTTCCTATGGGAATGTCATTGAGAGAAACTGTGCTGGGCTTCCTATGCCTTCTTCATATGTTCCTGGCATCATATCAGGACTGACAGACAACATGACTTTTGTACAGAGGCTGGAGAACTGGTTATCGTATACAATAGGTGACCTGATGTATTCATATTTTGTATTTCCAGAATGGGATGAATATTACAGCAAGGTTTTAGGTAAGTGATATTTGCATGTAATAATGATTCTTATTTCATATGGAAAATGTAAATGTTTATCTGACTGTATAAAAGCTTAAAAAAGTTTTTCTTTGAGTGATACCCAAGCTCATGTTTCTTAACTGTTTTGAATAACAACAATAATAACAATTCTTTATCATTCTTTATTCTTTTCTTAAGCTTTTCCTTTTTTGTTTTTAGATTACTGAGTACTAAAAATTTATCAGAGAACAAATATGTTCTATGTTTATACATAAATCCTATCCAATGCTGCTATTTTTTTTTTCCCCCAGGATATCTACAAAAACCCAAATCTGACAGTGTTCCATAACCTTGGGCTATGCTCTCTTGTTTACTTCTCCTTTTATATGCAGGCTTCCCAGGTGGTGCTAGCAGTAAAGAACCTGTCTGCCAATGCAGGAAACATTAGAGACAGGGTTTTGATGATTCTTGGGTCAGGAAGATCCCCTAGAATAGGGCATTACACCTTCCATTTTCTTTCTGATTAACCTGCTGTTTCTCAGGCCTTCTGTTTGCATCCTCTGAAGGCTTGGTTTGATTCCCAGGCTTGTAACATGATGAGTAAGAAACTGGAAAATAAATAAACATACATGGGTTTCATCTCGTTGCCTTCCAAAAGAGAAAGAAACAAGAAATGTTTTTCTCTAACTAGACTTTTAAACGTATTTTATTGTTGGCCTTATTGTTGCTGTTCCATTCATAATTGGATTAGAAATGAACTATTGAGCTTTGATCCTGAGCTTAAAGATTTTATCCATTTCAGCAAGTCCTTTTATGCTTTCATTTTTCCTTTTGCATAACGTATATGCTTATTAAAAAATAAGTTTATATACTTGTGTTAAGGAGGATTTTGCAGAAGATATTTTGAGAAAGCCGTTGAAAGGGCCCACATGGTGGTCTCATTGATAAGATGGCTGGTTATGTCGACCTCACAAAGAATAAAGCACAGTGATTCAGACTGACCAAATTGCCCAAATGACATCCTGTTATCTCACCGGCGCCTATCTTCTCAAAGCTGTGAGACCACCAGATTCCAGACCTCCAGCTCTGCTACCATCCCTTCAGGGAACTTTTCATTGGTGGGGTATTAGAAGGATTTCATCAGAAAGGGAGAACGCTGGTTCTCCTTAAGAGCCAGTCACCCTCTCTTTTCCCTCTAATAAACTTCCCTTTTCTTGTCTGACTGCCCCGGCTCGCTCTCTTTTTCTCTGCACTTGCCTTACATTTTGGTGCCGAAACCCGGGAGGGAAGATCCACCGCACCTGGGTGGGCTCCTCTCACAAGCCCACCCCCGGGGGCCCCCTCCCTGGGACCTCGAGTCCTAGCGATATGCGGGAGGATCCCCATCGCCCTCAGCCCCTCGGCCTTGTGCCCCGCCAGACTTTGAAACAGGGGACGCCCATTTCAAAGCAGACCATTATTACTCTCCGCGAAAGTCCTGCGAACCGGGGACGCACTCAGGTCCGAGGGAACGGGGACTCTTGGACCTTTTGTTCGCCTCGCTTTCTCTCGCCCTTGTTTAACTTCCCTATTCGGCCGCAATGGGAAATTCTCAATCCCAGCCCTCAAAATCTACTCCTCTGGGATGCCTTCTCTGAAACCTAAACGCTTTGGGCTTCCAAGGGGAGATAAGACCAAAAAGACTTACTCACTATTCTAACACTGGGTGCAAAACCTACTTGAAAACAGGTCCCAGTGGCCAGAAAATGGAACTCTCGATTACAATACTCTACCGGAGCGCGATAACTTCTGCTTGCCGCAATGGCAAGTGATTAGAAATCTCTATGTTCAGGCTTTCTTTGTTCTTCGCTCTTGACCCTCTCTCTGTGAATCCCCTTCTACTTCTCAAATACTCTCAGCCCACTCTGGGCCACATCCTCCTAATACAGTGTCTCCTGATCCTTGTTCAGGCTGTTCTTCCTTCCACCTTTCCAACCACAGCCCACCCCCTATCGCTCCCAGTCCCCGTGTAGCCACTCCAAATCCAGTTCCACAACCTCCTTGTTACCTCCCCTCCTCCCTCCCTCCTTCTCAAGGGCAGGCCGCTCCCAACACCCCTCCCTGCCCGAGCCTCAGATAAGCTCTGAGACTTCAGACCCACCCTCTGCCCTGAGGGTTCCAAGGCTTTCACCTGACCTCCCTGGATTCCCTCTCCAAACAGCTTTAAAAACGGAAACTTCACCCCAGGACCTCGCTCCTACCCCTGCTCCAGGCCTGCCTTTACCTGAAGCAGCTGGAGGAGAAGGCACTGTCCAGGTTCCTGTCATATTCTTTCTCCCTCACCTATCTATCTCAGATTGAAAAGTGTCTTGGCTCTTCCTCCTCAGACCCGGATAATTACTAAAAGAATTCAAGGATCTTACCCAGTCTTATGACTTAACCTAGCATAATATTTACATCATACTTTCCTCCACTCTTCTTCCAGAAGAGAAGGAAGGAGTATGGAGTAGGCAAGCCTCTCAGCCACATGCTGATGAGATACACAGGACATTAAGCCCGTGGGGTCAATGGCTGTCCCCTGAGATGATCCCAACTGGGATTATCAGGCAGGGAGACCTGGGTGAGCAGCCCATAATCACATGACTGCTTGCCTCATGGTGGACCTTCAAAAGGCAGGGCATAAAGCCATCAGCTTCAATAAGCTGCAGGAAATAACTCAAAGACTAGATGAAAACCTGGCACAATTTCTCTCCAGGTTAACGGAAGCACTACAAAAATATACAGAATTAGACCCCACCTCAGCAGAGGGCACCATTGTTCTTAACACCCATCTTATCTCCCAGTCATCCCCAGATATCTGAAAGAAACTAAAAAAGACAGAAGGCCCTCAAACCCCTCACTGAGACCTTTTAAATTGAGCCTTTGAGATTTCCAATAATCTAGAAGAACAGGCAAAGCTAGAGAAGGCCCAACCAGATCAGGCCAGTTACCACCTTTTAGCTACTGCCCTACATGGCTCCAAGCCTCCATCAACCAACAAAGAAAGGAAGCCAACGGGTCCCTGCTTCAAATGCGGCAAAGAAGGCCACCGGGCCTGCTCATGCCTAAAGCCAAGGCCCCCTCCAGGTCCATGCCCCAGCTGTGGCATAAAGGGACATTGGAAGGTCGATTGCCCAAGTCCCCCTCCAGGGATCCAGACATTCCCCTCTTGGTCCCGAGCAGGAGTCCTCTGACCCAGCTCTACTCAGCCTCCTCAGACTTGCCTCTGAAGTCTGAAGGTGCCCAGGGCCCCAGGGCCCAACTCTCATCACCTCTGTGGGAGCCCAGGGTAACTCTTAGAGTGGCAGGTAAGCCGATCTCCTTTCTCATTGACACAGGGGTCATTTACTCTGCTATGCCTTCCTACTCCGGAAAAACCAAGGTCTCTCAGTTCTCTGTTATGGGGGAGTTGATGGTTTAATAGCTACACCATGAATAACGAGCCATCTTATCAATGAGACCCCATGTGGGCCCTATCAGCCATGTTCTGCTTGCATTATTTACTTAGGTTTTTAAAGATATAATTGACATGTTACTTTGTATGAATTTTAGGTGTCAACAAAATATTGTCAATCTGTAGAAAAAATTGAAAATTTTAATTGAGCCAAACTTAAGATTATAACCTGGGAGACTGTTTTTTAGAAAGTTCTGAAAAAAGTCCTCCCATTAGAAGTCAAAGCACTGTTATATGAGTTTTTGAGATAGAGGATTATACATCAAAAGTTTATGTATCAGAGTAATGCCGGCAGCTTACACAGGCCAAAGCGAGTGGTGGGTCATTGTGACACCTTATAGGATTAAGGAAGGAATGTTTTCTCCTTAAGACTTACCTTGCTAGCACTAAAAGGAAATTGTTTTGCTCATTTGTTTGTTTGATGAGTTAGTATTCCTATTTCTTCTAAGGAGACCTAGTTAATGTGGAATATAGACATGCAATGTATGCTAAAGAGGAGGGTGGTGAGTGGCCCAAATGGCAGAGAAAAATTTGTTATTTTTTTTTGCCCTGCTTGAAATTCATTTTCTTTTATCACAGGCATACAATGTAATAATTTTGTATTTATACATATTGTGAAGTGATCACCACAAGACCTCTAGTTAATGGTCATCACCTCACATAGTTACAACTTTTTAATTTTGAGATGAGAACTTTTAAGATCTACTCCCTTAACTCATTTCATATATACAATACAGTATTGCTAAATGTAGTCAACATGCTGTACATCATATCCCCTGGACTTACTTATTTTATAAGTGAAAGCTTATACACTTTCACCACCTTCACCTACCTATTGCACCCACTTTCCAATCCTGGCATTTGGCAACCAACAATCTGTTCTCAGCTTCTATTAGTTCATTTTCTTTTTTGTTTTGTGTTTTTTTAAATATTCTACATTTAAGTGATTTCACATAGTTTTTGTCTTTACCTCTCTGACTACTCTTACCATGATTTCCTCAAGTTCCATCCATATTGAGGCAAATGACAGGTTGTCTTTTTTCTCATGACTTAATACTATTTCATGGTATATGTAATCATATTTTCTTTATCCATTTACTAGTTGAAAAATATTTAGAAGTTTTCCATATTTTGGCTACTGTAAACAATGCTATAGCATTGTTTATAGTGAACATGGGAGGTGGTAGTAGTTTTATCATTTTATTTTTTGATGGACCTACATACTGTTTTCCAGAGTTTTGCACCAGTTTACATTCCTACTAACAGTGCACCAGGGCTCCCTTCTCTCCATATCCTCACCAGCGTTTGTTATCTCCTGTCTTCATGTTAATCATATTAACAGGCATGAGGTGATATCTCATCGTGGCTTTAATTTGCATTTTCCTGATTAGCATTGGGGGCACCCATTTATGTACTTGTTAGCCATTTGAATATCTTCTTTGGAAAATTGTCTATTCAGGTCCTTTGCTCATTTTTACTGGAGAAGGGCATGGCAACTCACTCCAGTATTCTTGTCTGGAGAATTCCATGGACAGAGGAGTCTGGCAGGCTGCAGTTCATGGGATCACAAAGAGTTGGACATGTTGAAGTGACTTAGCATGCATGCACACATGGTCATTTTTACATTAAATTATTTGTTTTCTATTTTTGTACTGAGTTGTATGAGTTCTTTAGACATTTTGAATGGCAATCCTGTATCATATATATGGTTTGAAAATATTGTCCCTAATTTTATAGGTTGCCTTTCCATTTTGTTGATCATTTATTTTGCTGTTCATTGTCTTTCTAGCTTGAAGTAGTCTTATTTGCTTATTTTTAATTTTGTTGTTGCTTATGCTTTTAGTATCATGCTTAAAAAATCACTGAAGACTCATATCAAGAAAAGTTTCTGCCATGTTTTCTTCTAGGAACTCTATGGTTTCAGATCTTACACTGAAATCTTTAATCCATTTCCAGTTAATTTTGTAGTGGAGTAAGATTCGAGTCTAGTTTCATTCTTTCCATTTGAATATCCTTTTTCGTTTTTATTCAAGTAAGGATTATTTAAAAGATGATCTTTTCTCATTGAATATTTTTGGCTCCCTTTTGAAATATTAGTTGATCATATATGTATGGGTTTATTTTGTGGCTTTTGATTCTATTCCACTTGTTCATGTACCTGTTTTTATGCCTATACCATATGGCTGTGATCACTATAGCTTACAATATTGCCTGAAATCAGAAATGTTATGCCTGCAGGTTACTTTGGCTTTTAGGAGTCAGTTTTAGTTTTACATACATTTTAAAGTTGCTTTCTTTTTTCTTTCTTTCTTTCTTTTTTTTTTTTTTTTACTATTTTGGACAGAAATATCTCTAATCTAAAAGATTAGTTTATTACTAAATTTAAAAAATTTCCCTTATAGTTGTAATCTTTTGTTTTATATAGATCTTTTCATTTTCCTTATTTTCAGCACATCCTAAATTTCTTATGAGAAATCACTTCTTCAACAATTCAGAAACAATATGAATGTTTCTAATGAAGTATGTTGCCCGGGAATATGCTGTGTGTTCAACAAGGCATAAGACCTAATCCAAGTGGACATGTAACGTTGAGATAGTTTCTAGGCATTTTGTGACAGAAACGTATTTATTTCTCTAGACTAGACCCTAAAAATCTTTGGCCACCTCATGCAAAGAGTTGACTTATTGGAAAAGACCCTGATGCTGGGAGGGATTGGGGGCAGGAGGAGAAGGGGGCGACAGAAGGTGAGATGGCTGGATGGCATCACCGACTCGATGGACATGAATTTGAGTAAATTCCGGGAGTTGGTGATGGACAGGGAGGCCTGGCGTGCTGCGATTCATGGGGTCGCAAAGAGTCAGACANAAATGCAGCATCATAATACAAAAAGTGGTATTGCTTTGGAACTTTGGGAAATGGTTTTCCAAATTTAGATATTGGCTCACAATCTTTATTCAGATCAGTTAATAGTTTTTGTACAATATTGCCTTCCTTTCAATAAGATGCTTGAAGCACATTAGATTAATAATAAGAGTGCAGATTTTAACTAAAAAAGATATTATTTGGATAACAAAAGAAGGCAAATCAATGATATGACCCCATAATTCTAGTTGTATGCTTATAACAAAAATAAATGCATTTTTCCACACAAACCACATACCTTAATGCTCATAACCACATTATTCATAGAGCCAAATATGAAAACAACACAAATATTTGACAATTACTGAATGGATAAAAAAAAATGACATATATCTGTACAAAAGTATTATTCAGAAACAAAAATTCTTGAAGTGCTGATACATATGACCTTAGGAATCAATCTTGAAAACTTGCTAAATAAAAGAAGGCAGCATAAAAGACCACATAGTGTATTTATAAGGAAGAATTGTATGGTGTAAATTATATGTCAGTAAAATTGTCATTAAAAGAGCAGAGGAGTAAAGCATTTCAGAAAGAAAATAAGATTATACCCATAGCCGACACTTAAGGTTCTAATATGAGGTCTATACTAGGTCTGAAACTGGAATTTGAATACCTTGGACATTACCAGATTCAGACCCCTAAATTACTGAGATTTGCTTGTGATCTCTTAAACAGATAGGTTTCCCTGGCAATTAAAAAATCCCTCATATTTTCTAATCAAAACTTCAGCACTCTTAGAATATCAAGGAAAACATTTTTTTAAAAAATCATGTGGTAAGAATCCAAATAGCTATAGTTTCTTTTTATTGGTGATATGGAGTACATATTTCAAAAGAACACTGACATTCTGAATAAGGTTCCTTATACCACAGTAATTATATAAATTCAAAAATTAAACTCTTGCTCCAAACTAAGGAAAGTGATTTAATTTAGAGTCACTAATTTGAGCTGCTATTATGTTAATATTCACATACTTTCCACTTCTTTTGAAAGGGATCACTTTTGTCAGCAAGTAGGTCAAAATAGAAAATATTTTGGCACCAGATTATGATGCAGTGCTCTATCTTCACCAGAGGACAGAGTTTTGTGAAACTAATTTTGTATGGCAAAGAAGATAATCACCTTAAGATTTTTATTATATAAGATTTCCCTTCTGGATAGGATGTACTTAGTAGTAACAGAACATTTCCAATACCAGAAAAGAAAACAATGGTTCAGTTTAAAGGGTTGTTTATTTTTTAAGCTATCAGAGACTTTTGGAGCAATGAGGATGAGATAAATTGGAATTCCAAAAGAGGAGGAGACTGTACCACAGGAGGCTGAGGTTCACTGGCTGAGTTTCTTGTTCATTGCTAAGAGCACCTGCTGATTCTGAGCATGGAATAGGGCTCAGGTGTAGCTCAAGCTGAAAGATTCTGTTGGTAGAGGTAAAGCAGAAGGTCTTTGGTTATTCCATACTTAATTCTGTGTTTGGTTCTTCATAGTCTCAGTATTTTGTACTCTTGGAGGGGAAAAAGCCTATTGATTTCTCTTGGGTTGCGTAGAACTAATATTGGTTCTTTAAAGATTTTTCGTAGGAAATTTGATGGTAAAACATGTCCCACCTAGCATATCAAATGATTTTCCCTCTATCGTCTTTCATTTTTGTTCAGGAAAATCTGCCACATTATGTGAGACTATGGGAAAAGCTGAAATGTGGTTGATGAGAACTAACTGGGATTTTGAATTTCCTCACCCTTACTTACCTAACTTTGAATTTGTTGGAGGACTGCACTGCAAGCCTGCAAAACCCTTGCCTAAGGTAATTAAATGTATCTTTTTGCCTCTCTCAGTATTCACCTCCTTGAATGATTTGTAGTTTATTATTTCTAGTATTTGATATTCAAACTGAAAACCTAGACACAAGAATTAACGGGACTTATCCACATTAGACTTTTGTGCTACCAGATTTTCTACACCATTGTGGTAATCATTACTGATGCTAATCAAATATGCCAGATGTTTAGCTAAAATAAAATTCCCAGCCCCTGAGTTTAGTGAAATTGTCCAATATTCTCAGGGCAATGAGTATGAGCTGAAGAGCCATGTATAACTTTCATATCCAACTCTCAATTGTCAGATGCACTTATTCCAGAGTTCTCTTTCCCTTTGTGATGTGAATGGCATGTGTCAATCTGAATCTTGATTAAAAATACATGGAATAATGGATGAATATATGGTAAAAGAAGCTGTTGCTTTAAGACACTAAGATTCTGGAGCCTTTTATTTACTTGTTTATTTTTGGCCATGCTGCTGCAGCATGTGGGATCTTAGTTCCCTGACCAAGATTGCACAGCCATCCCCTGCCTTGGAAAGCAGAGTCTTCATCACTGAAATAGCAGGGAAACACCAAGACACTGAGATTTTTGTTGTGAATTATTCAGCATAACCTAGTCTAAGAAATGGACATAGTAGAGAAATTACGATACTTTGAGAAAAGATTAAATAAAGGTGTGATGGCTCACCCAAAATCCTGGCAGAACTTACAGTAATGATTTGTTTGGTTTAAATAGAGGAAAGAAATTAGTCTGGAAAGATGATTATAGGGTAAGTTATGAAAAAAGCAAATGAGCAATACTAAGTAGTCTTTGGGCTTCCCTGTGGCTCAGAAGGTAAAGAATCCACCTGGAGTGGAAGAGACCTGGGTTTAAGCAATAACGTGAAACAGCTCACCATTTCATATATTCTGGTTATTGAATTATTTGGAATGGAGTGCAATTTAAATGGGCTGAGGTGGAATGGGAGGAGATATAGGTGCAGTTTCAGAAAGACTTTATAGAAATCTAAACTGCAATATAATAATAATTTTGAGCATAAATGGAAAAATTTAGTGAATATTTACAAAGAAAGGCAGTAAGATTTTCAGATAGGCTGGAGGTGACAGTTAAGAGTGACAGCTTCAGAATTAATCCTTAGCTTTTTATTTCTTGTATATGTCATACCTTTATATTTGCTATTTTGTATGGGAATTTAGTAGAGAATATTGTAATTTACAAAGTGAAGAAGGAGAAAGGAGCAATTTTGAGGGAAAATGGTCAAAATGACTCTTGTAGCTGTATATCCCATGTTGATTTAGCGTCCTTTGTTGTCTAATTTTTGTAATTAGGGATATTACTGAACCAACATTAGCAATACAAATTATTCAAATAATTCAATGTTATGAAAACGCTTGCTACAATTGACGAATCCTACTGATATCATAGATTTAGGAATCTCTTTTTTCTGTTTTTCATATGTGTGAGAGCATATCATTATGTGCTGCAGAGATGTGATTGTGCTTTTGTAGTGGTCCCAGAGCGCTAGTGTTCTCTGGTGGGTGGAGACAGGGACTCACTGGAAAATCTACAAAGCTCTTATGCTTTCTGGACACCCTGCAAAAAAATAACAGGTTGATCCTTGATGCCACATTATTGATATATAAATACTTAAATACACACATTACACATACATATACATACACATTAAACATTACACATACATATGTCTGTTATTGGTCAATACTAAGACAATAGAAGAATTCTGCATATTTTTGAGCCATTAAGTATATCTGTTTATCAGCAAGTCTCACACTATTCCAACATTTTATTTCTGGGATTTTAGAACTGAATTTTTACAAGGCATAGATCTTTTATTAAAAATCACNCCATGGATGCTAATAAGATTTATCTTTCATTTTCTACTGAAGCACAGTCAGTATAATGACATACTTTTGGTTCTGTTTTCTAAATTTCAGTTTTATATTGCCTATTTTTTCTCTTGGTAGAAGGTTCCACAGCACATTTAAAAATGAAGTAGCTATATAACTTCCTGACTGGGCAAGTAATGCAGAAGTTCTTATAATGCATACTCTGAGAATGACAGTAATATAATAGACACATATAGCATCACATTCAAAGTAAAATGGCATATTTAATCATGCTGAAGTAACTTAGAAATTTGGCTGTAACACCTACAGCTGTGTGAAAGTGAAGGTCACTCAGTGAGTCCAACTCTTGGGACCCCACGGACTGTAGCCTTCCAGGCTCCTCTGTCCATGGAATTCTCCACCCCAGAATACTGGAGTGAGTAACTGTTAACTTCTCCAGGGGATCTTACCAACCCAGGGACAAACTCAGCCATCCCGCATTGTAGGCGGATTCTTTACAGTCTGAGCTACCAGGGAAGCCCAAGAATACAGGAGTGGGTAGCCTATCCCTTCTCCAGCAGATCTTCCCACCCAGGAGTGGAACTGGGGTCTCCTGCAATGGAGGTGGATCCTTTACCAGCTGAGCTACCAGGGAAGCTCTGTAGCCTTGGACAAATTACTTAACCTTTCTGAGATAGCTTTCTCATCTGCAAATCTATATATATTACTTTAGTTACCCTGGATCAGAGTCAAATGATACAAGTAAAGAGCTCAGCAATGGCAAAAGATACATGTAGTCAATAATTTGTAAAGACATACACACATACACCTCTAATGTGCTAGAAGGGAACCTCCAATTTAAATAATTTTTAATTTGCCTATTAACCAATGTTTTCAGGTCATATTCTGTACTCTGAAATGGTTAACATGAAAAAATAGGATCATTCTTAGTTCAGGCACATTGAGAAAAGTGTGTGACTCATAACTCTAACCTCTCACATAACAAAGACTGTTTTCTTCACAGGAGTTTGAAGAGTTTGTTCAAAGTTCTGGAAAAGATGGAGTCGTGGTGTTTACTCTGGGATCAATGGTCAAAAACCTCACAGAAGAAAAGTCTAAAATGATTGCATCAGCTCTTGCCCAGATTCCACAAAAGGTCAGATATTTATATTTTTTGAGGGAGGGGCAGCTATTTTAGAATCTAGGAAAAACTCTAATTAAAAAGTATGCTTTAAAAATGTAGAAGTTATTGGTATTGTTATTGTCAATTTAACTGAGATATAAAAAAAGTATTAACTGTGAAAACAACATATGTAATTTATATCCTGGCATTGCTAACAGGAAAACATACTGGAGAATTTTCTTTAAACAATGAGCTAATACTGAATCATTCACTACTGTTAATCAGTAAGCCTTGTGCCTAGATTTTAAACCTTCCATGTAATCTAACATTGTTTTGTTGTTTGTATTATTTTGTTTTAATATAAGGCACAACTTTAATTTAATGAGTTGCAACTGCCATGATTGAAAACAAAAGAATATTTATTTTAAATATTTTAAAGACTATAATATTTTAAATTATAGTCTTGATTCACAGGATGCCTTGGGACTATATTTCCTTATAGTTAATGGATTTGGATCACTCAGGACCTGGTTGAGACTTGAAGTAACAGCCTAGATTCTTGGAATACTCCTAAACAATGATTCTTCTATTTAAATAATTGAAAACTTTAATAATATTAATACAATAAAGATTTATGTAGTTCACTCTATGATGTTACCCTAAATTATAATTTTTATTGATACTATTCTAGGTTATAACTGAATAATGTTCTTCTTAAACTTCCAAAGACATTTTTTCCCCTAGCTTTAGTTAAAACAGAGAATTACCTATAATGTTAAGTTATAAATAATAATTAATAATTACAAATAATTACACAATAATTATTGTATTCGTAGCCAAATTACTTTCACAAACTGTTTTGTGGAAGTAGTACTTTTTCAATATTTAGTGTAAAAAAGCATCTTCATAAGAATATTGAATTGTATTAAAATGTACAATGCTTAGGGGTTAAACCAGGACAGAATCTGAAGCAGCAAGACCTCTCTCTCTGCGTAAACAAAATTGTTCCAGCAAAAGCTATCTGAAGTAATGGTATTTGAACTCTGGAATCTAAGTACTTGCAACTCACAGTGGAAAGGCTGGGTGGAAATTGTGGTTAATTTCAGTCAATTTAAGGCCTTTAGAATAGCAGCAACTTGAAAGTCTCCATCACCCAGCCTCACAGTAGCCTGCATGCCTGTATTCCTGGTGTGACTTGTGGCAGCATAAGAGGCAATAGAGACTTTAACTTCCAAATACTGTGTGTCTGCGGTCTAATTGCTGACTACCGCCTGTGCTAATTGAGGTGAGGCACAAAAGTTGGCCACAGTCATTTCAACCTTCATTAGAAGATGCAATTTCCAGGAACTTTAAAGGATAAGCCTATTCTTTTTTTTTTTTTTTTTTTTTNCTGCACCATCTTTCTCTTCTTCCCTCCTGTGAGAAAAGAGGATGCACCCAGCCCCATCTCAAGACCTAACCTCTTCCGCTTGGGTCAGAGAATTCCCACTTGTTCAAGGTTCACCCCCTCACTAGCCCCTCTCCCTCCAGCAACATTATTTCCACAAATAGGAAAATATGTTTCAGAATTCTTATCATAAAGCAAAAACCAAAATCCTCCTTATTTCATTGTGTTTTATATCCTACTTCATGTTTCAGCTCTCCTTGAGAGCTTTCCTTTGCTGTAGAAATGTATAAGGCTTTTGCCCCCATTTACCTTGTTTTGTAGGTTTATCCATGTTGTTACATGTATAACTTCATTCTGTTTTATTGCTGAGTAGTGTGAGAAAAGAAAAGAAGCAAAAGGCAAAGGAGAATAGGAAAGATATAGCCATCTGAATGCAGAGTTCCAAAGAATGGCAAGGAGAGATAAGAAAGTCTTCCTCAGTGATCAATGCAAAGAAATAGAGGAAAACAATAGAATGGGAAAGACTAGAGATCTCTTCAAGAAAATTAGAGATACCAAGGGAACATTTCATGCAAAGATGGCCTCAATAAAGGCAGAAATAGTATGGACCTAACAGAAGTAGAAGATATTAAGAAGAGGTGGCAAATGTTAATAAAGGATAATTGAAATTATCAAGTTTGAGGAACAGGAAAAGTGAGAAGAAAAATGAACAAAGTCTAAAAGTTGTGGGGATCCATCCTGTGAATTAGCATATATACTGTGGGAGTCCCAGAAAGAGAGAAATTGGCAGATAGCATATTAAAGTAAATAACAGCTTAAAATAGCCCCAATTTATTAAAGGTATGAATCTGCACAAACTTCCCAGATGGCGCTAGTGGTAAAGAACCTGCTTGCCAATGCAGGAGACTTAAGAGTTGTGAGCTCGATCCCTGGATCAGGAAGATCCCCTGGAGGAAGGCACAAAATCCACTCCAGTATTCTTGCCTGGAGAATCCCATGGAAAGAAGAGCTTGGCAGGCTATAGTCTATCGGGTCACAAAGATTATGACATTACTGAAGCAGCTTAGCATGAATGAATCCATACCTCCAAGAAGCTTAATGAATTTCCAGTAGGATAAACTCAAAGCAACCTACATTAAGACATATTAGAATCAACTTCTTGAAAGACAAAGATAATGAGTAAATATTGAAAATAGCTAGGAAGAAAGAATTCATTACATATATGGTATCTTTAATACAGTGATCAGCCAATTGCTCATCAGAAACCTTGAAAAGACAGTTAAGTTGATAAATTCAAAAGCGTTGAAAGACAAAATTGTTAACAGAATTATATATGAGGAAAATGTCCTCAACATTGAAGTACAAATTAAGATGTTCCCAGAAAAGCAAAAGTTGAGGAACATCATTAACACTAGATTTTAAAAAATGCAAAAGGAAAGCTTTCTGATTGTAATAAAAGTCTGCTAAACAGTAACACAAAACTATATGAAGAAATAAAGATCTGCAGTGATGTGAAATTGCAGTCAATTCAATTATAAAAGTTAATATTTTTGTAGTTTTGGCTGGTATATCTAACTTTTAAAAATCTCAAAAATTTAATATATAAATTCTTAAAAGCAATTATGTAATTAGGAACACAATGCATAAATATATAAATTATGACAACAGTAAAAGAAACAGGATGAATCTCTTCCTCTTTCTATAAAGAAGGTGAGTTATTTTCTGCTATTGGATCAATAGGTCAAGGAATAAGGCATGAGAGTAATTAGAAAATATCTTTTTAAATGAATAAAAACACAAGAGACAAGAAAATATAAGGTGAGAAAGCAGGGCCATAGAAAACTTTTTAATTATTGAATTTGAATTTGTTTACTAGTTAAGTAGTGTCCGACTCTTTTGCAACCCCATGGACTATAGCCCACTAAGCTCTTCTGTTCATGGGATTTTTCAGGCAAAAATATTGGAGTGGGTTGCTGCTTCCTACTCCAGGGGATCTTCCCAACCCAAGGTTTGAACCCATGTCTACTGCATTGACAGGCAGATTCTTTACCAGTGAGCTGTTAGAGAAGCCCTTATAGCTTTATGTGACTACATTGAAAGAGAGGAAAGATCTAAAACAAGCAACCAATGATTATACTTTAAAGAACTATAAAAAGAAGGCTAGGTGAACCAACATGTAGTGAAAGCAAAGAAGTAATGATTATTAGATCAGAGATAAACAAACAAAAATAGATTAAAAATAAAACAGGACAAATCAATAAAATAAAAAAAAACAGTACTTTTAAAAAGTCAGCAAAATTATCAAACATTTAGCTAAACTGGAAAAAAGAAAAAAGATAGGTGATGCAAAAAATTAAAATTAGAAATGATCCGAGGGAGATTACTAATGGATTTATAGAGATAAAAGATTATAAGAGAATATAATGGCAGTGTGGCTCAGATGGAAGAGTAGAAAGACCCCCTAGCTCACCTTTTTCCTTAGGCACACTAAAATAGATCCTATTTACAGACCAGTTATTGATGAGAACAAACAGAAGACGGGCTGTAAAGATCTTCTATACCTAAAGGTATAAAGAAGGAACCACAATTAGATAGGTAGGAAGGATGGAGAAGGAATACAGTCAAGCCTCCTATCCCCAAGTAGGCTAATTAGCAGAGGTGGTTCCCAAAGACTGAAAGGTTTGAGCCCAATCCTGGGCTCCTTAGCCCAGATATTCTGGGCTCAGAAGTCAATCTCTCAGACCACTGACTTTGAAGACCAGTAGGTATTACTTTCAGACGAGCCAGTGGTTCATAGTAGTCAGTCTGATCTCAGGGAAATTTAGCAGGTGGTGGCTTGAAGCAGGATGTTAATTCCTTAACCAGATATTGAAACCAATACTCGATTCTATATCACTGCCAAGTATATATCAAAGGTCAGAGTGCTAACAAACTCTTAGGTAAATAACACCCATCCCCTTTATGTCTGAAAATTTTATTGCTAAATGCCCTTTACCAGAATAACCTAGTAATGCCAATATATAATTGTTTCAGGTAAAGATTGTCCTTTTTCTCTTCATCTTCTAAGTGAGAATTAACCTGTTAGTATATAGATGAGGATTATTGTAAGCATTTGAAAATATGATTGTAGTGTCAATGGTTTAAAAGCATTCATTACTTAATCACTAGGGCCTCATCGCTTGTGTAATACCTGGAGGCATCAAACCTGCTTAATTCTAAGTTAACTGCCTCCTTCTGACAGGATATGGTTCTAAAAATCTTCAAATGAAGTAAAGACACTTGCCTTAACAGGTTCTGTGGAAATATGGAGGAAAGAAACCAGAAAATTTAGGAGCCAATACCCGGATATATGAATGGATTCCACAGAATGATCTTCTGGGTAAGACCAAACAGAAGAAAATCAAACAGAAATAAATAAGGGATAATCTGAATGATTACTCAATAACAAATAAATCCAAAAAATTTGTATTCAAAATAAAAAATAAAAACCTTAATGGCTTCTTCACATTTCTTCTGGAGTTTGTTAAAGAAAAAAAATTATCCATGACACTTGTTGAAGACTGCAAAGTGAAGTGAATTGAAAGTCACTCAGTCATGTCTGACTCTTTGTGACCCCATGGGCTATACAGTCCTTGGAATTCTCCAGGCCAGAATACTGGAGTGGGTAGCCTTTCCCTTCTCCAGGGGATCTTTCCAACCCAGGGATTGAACTAGGGTGTCCTGCATTGCAGGTAGATTCTTCACCAAGAATCCCAAGCTATCAAAAAAGCCCCCAAAGACTGTAAAGAACACTTTATCCAAGACCATCAGGATGAATACTACTGCAATAGACTTTCACAGAAAATCAGAGATTGGACTCAACTCTCAGTCAAAAAGGAAAAGTGGAAAATTCATAGGCGAAATACAGAGTGGATGGTCATTAGATGAAAAATTAATAACAGTAAGCATCACAAAGGGGGGAGGGATTCTGGCAAAAACAACTGAATTAGATTCTTTCTGAAGGCAGGCCAGAGTGATCAGGTATCAAATAGGGGGGTGGTGAAGGATGAATCAACAATCAGAGAGGTGATCAAATATCAAGGTTTCAAGAGTCTAGGGAAACTGACTTGATAGGATGCTTGCTAAAATGAGGTAACGCAGAGAGAAAAAAGAACCCCCCAAACCAGGACCTAGTTGAGAAGAGTTCAGAGGAGCCTGACTAGACTTTGGTCAAGGGTAGAATCTTTTTCAAGCTCTAACATAAATATGGAGTTTATAATTCTTCCACTTAAGCTATAATCTCTGCCTCTTCAGAATGAGGGTAAAGGAAAGTACCTTTAGATCAGGCTCTCATTACTTTTTGCATAGAATATGGCAACATCTTCCTGACTCTCTGTATCCATTTTCTCCTTTACATGCATCCACCTCTCTGCAATTTCCCTGCCATAACTATTTGGGGGAAAATAATTCTGGTAAACCATTTCACCATCTAGCATATTACAAATGGCTCCAGATTACTGTAAAATTACACACACAATTCTGTTTTCTTAAACAGGTACTTAATGAACTTGCCTTGGTCTATCTTTCTATTCTGTGCTGCCAACATTCTCACATTGAAACCCTGCATACCTCACCTCCCATGTCCCATTCACAGAAGCATTTTTTCTTAAATCCCTCAATCCTGTTTATTAGAGCATCCTCATCCCAATTACTTGTCCAATGGCAGGTACTCTCCATCATTTAATTCTGCACAAATTTTTCAGAGGTTTATGGAATGACTCACTTGCTGGAATCACTAATTGCTACTTAGCCTGGAATAATCAATTGCTACTTTCTTTAGCACCTATAGGAATCTATATGTGGCTTCACTGCACACAATCATATAGAAGATGCTACCTAACTGAATTAATTATTCATAGAGATGTTATGGCTTTCTGTTTCTATTTCAATTTAGAATACTGATTTTTTTTTTTTCTTTTTAGGTCATCCCCAAACCAGAGCTTTTATCACTCACTGTGGAACCAATGGGATCTATGAAGCTATCTACCATGGGGTCCCTATGGTGGGAATCCCCCTGTTTGGTGATCAGCATGGTAATGTTGCTCGTGTTAAAGCCAGAGGAGCAGCTGTTGAATTAGACTTGCAGAGAATGACGAGTTCAGATGTGCTTAACGCTTTGAAGGAAGTTATTAACAATCCTACGTGAGTATAAAGTACCCAGTTTTCTGAGAAACGTTGGTATTTTAAAAGGAGTAATTGTTTCATTCAGTTTAATTCAATACTTTTATATAATCACCAGGACATATCTAACATCAAATAAATTATTGTCATATACTTCTCAAATTCTATGAAAATATTTACTTATTGTTGTTACTGGAGAATAGATTTCATCCTCAAAGAAATGCTAAACTTATTTAAATCAGCTAAACTATTTTTAAAGAGTCACACATACTTTTGCTAATATTATTTTTTGTTCACGTGCATGCTCAGTGCTAAGTTGTGTCAACTCTTGCAACCTCATTGACTTTAGTCCACTAGTCTCCTCTGTCTGTGGGATTCTACAGGCAAGAATACTGGAGTGAGTTGCCAATTCCTTCTCCAGGGGAAATGGAGATTTTTATATATAAAAACCTATATAATCCAGGGGATCTTCCTGACCCAGGGATGCAACCCACATCTCCTGCAATGGCAGGCAGATTCTTCACCACTGAGCTACCTGGGAAGCCATTTATTATGCCTTTAAAATTACAGATACTACTACTATAAAGAATTTAGGCAATGTGACAGAAATATAGAGAAATAAAGTTGAAAAAAATCACTTAGCTCTCTTCAGGTATCTATAACCTATTCAGTTCAGTTCAGTTCAGTCGCTCAGTCGTGTCTGACTCTTTGCAACCCCATGAATCGCAGCACACCAGGCCTCCCTGTCCATCACAGACTCCTGGAGTTTACTCAAACTCATGTCCATTGGGTTGGTGATGCCATCCAGCCATCTCATCCTCTGTCATCCCCTTCTCCTCCTGTCCCCAATCCCTCCCAGCATCAGGGGCTTTTCCAATGAGTCAACTCTTCATATCAGGTGGCTGAAGTATTGGAGTTTCAGCTTCAGCATCAGTCCTTCCAATGAACACCCAGGACTGATCTCCTTTAGGATGGACTGGTTGGATCTCCTTGCAGTCCAAGGGACTCTCAAGCGTTTTCTCCAACACCATAGTTCAAAAGCATTAAATTTTTCACTGCTCAGCTTTCTTCACAGTCCAACTCTCACATAAGCTATTACCAGTATAGAAATATTACTTCAGATATTTCTTTGTGCTAATTTATAAATAGAAAAGAAAAAAATGTATAAAAATGGGACCAGGCTACATTTTGGGACTTCCCTGGTGGCTCAGATGGTAAAGAATCTGCCTGCAATGCAGGAGAGGTTTGATCCCTAGGTCAGGAAGATCTCCTGGAGAAGGTATTGGCCACCTACTCCAGTATTCTTACTTAGAGAATTCCATGGACAGAGGAGCCTGGAGACCTACAGTCCATGGGGTCGCAAAAGTTAGACACAACTGAAGCAACTTTGCACAGCATGCTTGGTATATATATTTCTAAATGATTTGTTTTTATTAATTTTTTAACCTGACAAAATTTTTTTCTACATCTCAGAGCTATTGTTTTTTCCTTGTTTTCCTGAATATATCTAGAGGTACTTATTCATTAAATTCTTGTGCATTAAGAAAGAGCTGTCTTTTTTTTTTTTTCAAACCAAATGGTGACAGGGTTTTGCATACTTTTTTTCTTGGCTCACAATTCTGTTTCTCAGAACTTTCTACATGTATTTCATTCTTTTTCTACAATTTAATGTTCTGTACTCTCTATCAATGATAACTGCACTTCAGTGTGGGAGAATAACCTTCCTCCTTCATCTCCTTCACAAACCCAAAGGATTACTTCCTTTAAGGGAGCCATTAAAAACCCTAAACCTAGAGCCTATTTTACAGAGGGAAAGAACTCAGAAAGAGAAAGACAAATGTATCAACTCATATATACAGAATCTAGAAAAGTGGCACTGATGAACCTGTTTACAGGGGAGAAATAGAGACACAGATGTAGAGAGGATGGTGTTGTGGACACAGCAGGGGAAGAAGTGGGTGGGGCAAATTGAGAATAGCACTGATATACCATTTACTCTCAGCCCCTACTTCTTGCTCAGAGGATCACATCAGGCTTCTTGTTTTCATATGGAATGTCAGGGCCATGAAAATCTCAGACTGAAAACTTTCCTGCTGCTGTTGAAAACTAGCTTCTTTTAGCACTAATAATCCAAACCGAATTGGGGAGAGGCAAGAGGAGTACAGGAAGAGATATTTTCTCATAGCTCTGCCCCTCAAATGCTGCTTCTGTCACTATTATGTTCCCAGCACCACATTCGGCAAAAGAGATCAAAATTCTGTATTCTCAAATTACATATTCTACATTCCTCTTTCTGAATCTTTAAAATGCTACTTCCAGTTAGAAATTCTCCCCTACCTCTAATTATTATAGAGACTGTGAAATGTCCAACAAATTTCAGTTAATAAACTAGCATATCTAGAAGTATCTCAAGAGGAAAAAAACTTTCATGTATATTCTGCACTCTGGGTGATATCATTTATGACATAATATATTCATAATTATGTAATATACTTTTAATAGGATATAACAATTTTAGGTATATCATGTCCTTAACAAAATTTTCAAGTGGCTATCCATATATTCAATCCTTAGCTATAAAGAGAATGCTATGAAGTTATCAAGAATTCACCATGATCAGCCTGTGAAACCCCTGGACCGAGCAGTCTTCTGGGTTGAGTTTGTCATGCGTCACAAAGGAGCCAAGCACCTTCGCCCAGCCTTCCACGACCTCACCTGGTACCAGCACCACTCTTTGGATGTGATTGGCTTCCTGCTAGCCTGTGTGGCAACTATTCTATTCCTGGTCACTAAATGTTGCCTGTTTTGTTGTGGGAAGTTTGGTAAAATTTCAAAGAAGAAAAAGAGAGAGTAGTTTTTGTTTTTTGTTTAACAGTTGGACTAGAAACCTTGATGCAATCCGTCTGGATTATCCCAGCCACTGATTTGAACAGATTCCTACTCTCTTGAGTTCTCATCCATTCCTCAGCTTATCAAGTCAAACTCACACTCCAAAAATATGCCACATGGTTTATAATTATGGTTTAAAAGACTATTTTCTTTAAAAAGAGAGGATAAATAAACACATAAAAGTTGCTACCATTAACGATGCAGTGGTTTACTTCATTCATTGCTTTCAGTTCAATCAGTTGAGATGCTGTCTGAGGCCTTAAGAACATAACGAGTAATCTATTTTCAGTACTAACCATATTGACTATTTCCTTAATATCTGACATGATTTTGGGTTCCGTATGTAATAATTATTGCATATATTCTAAAGGAACTAGACAAGGAGTAATGTAGTGCATATTCTAGTCAGGGCTTCCTTTCCAGTCAAGATGATCAGGAGACTCATAGGGTTTCTACTCATCTGTAAAGTACATTTTACACCATCAATTTCCTTTCATATCATACATTAGATGTTGTCCCTCTTGGAATACAAAGCTTTGCTTTGTCTTTGATTTGAAGATTGCCCTTCATTTAGATATTAGTAAAGATAGTACTCATTTGATAATAATAATAGTACTTAATTTGTATTGTAACACTTCATAGCTTCAGACAACTAGTGATTAGCATGGTTGTTGGTATGATGGAGCAAAAGTAAATGACTGGAATTTAATACCCATCCTTTCAAAGTAACAATTTTTTAAACATTTATTTTAATTCATTTATTTGTTTATCTTTCACTGTGTTATGTCTTCATTGCTGCACACGGGCCTTCTCTCGGTGCGGTGAGCAGGAACTACTCTAGTTGCAGTCCATGGGCTTTTCATTGAGGTGGTTTCTTATATCGCAGAGCACAGGCTCTAGGGCGTGTGAGTGTCAGTAGTTGTAGCTTGGGAGCTCTAGAGTGGGAGTTCAGTAGTCTTACTGAACAGGCTTAGTTGCCCTGTGGCAGGTGAGATCTTCCTGGACCATGGATTGAACTCATGTCTCCTTCAGTGGCAGGTGGATTCTTAACTACTGGACCAACAGGCAAGTCCTAAACTAGTTTAATTAAAAAAAAAATCCCTATATTAATTTTACTTAGAACATACATTTGGAGAGAAGAAGCAAACTTCTTAGAGCTACACTGCAGATTCATTGGGGAAAATGCATTTCTCAGAACTGCTATTTGCTATGGGGAATGATTTCTCCATCTAAAGAGAAATTCTTCCTTCACTTCCATCGCTTCCCCTGGTCTTCCCATAAATAGTCCTTTGATCACTATTACAAGCACAAGTACTTAGGCTTCTTACTAACTAGCATCTGCTGGAAATCTGCAGTAAGCTTGAAAACACAGCTTGAATTTTAATAAAAAGAGATATCTCTTTAAAAAAAAAAAAGAGCATTCCCTTTCTTTCTTCTCTAATTATACAGAATCAGTTTGGGGGGTCTTGACAATGATTTTGAATTCTACCCAATTCTCCCCTTTAAAAAAGATGTCCCTAGTATTCTTTTCTAAAAGTCTATCTCCAGAAAGTTATTTAACATAATACATGGTTGGACGGCATCACCGACCCAAGGGGCATGAGTTTGGGTAAACTCCAGAAGTTGGTGATGGGCAGGGAGGCCTGGCGTACTGCAGTCCATGGGGCTGCAAAGGGTCTGATGCAGCTGAACAAAACTGAACTGATATCAACCAGATTTAGTAATGATTTACCATAGACTTTGATATTTATATCCTAGGCAAAATAGACCTTAAATTACAATCTCAGAATAAATATTACTTTATCAGATTAGTCTAAGAACATAAAAAATATATTAGAATGAATATAGAATTATCTTAAAGAAGTTGTGTCTTTGGACCCTGTGGACTGTAGCCTGCCAGGCTCCTATGTCCATGGGATTTTCCAGGCAAGAATACTGGGGTGGATTGCTATTTCCTCCTCCAGGGGATCTTCCCAACATAGGAATCAAACCCAGTTCTCACGCACTGCAGGCAGACTCCTTACTGTCTGAACCACCAGGGAAGTAGGACAAATATGAATGATTTGGGCATTTTTCAGTTTTTTACAGGAATAGTGGCACAAATAAGAACAAGGTAAACATAAATTTATTCCTTAATGTGGAATTAACTATAAAAAATACATCTGAAAATTATTTTTTCTTAATTTTATGAGTTTGAAATAATTATTATATTTTAAGATATAGAGCTTAAAAAACAAACAGTAATGCTGCTTGTTTCAAGGCCTAAGTCATGTAATCAAAGCAGTAATTTATCATAGTGCTAAAGCATTTTTTCTGACAGTAAGATAATGTCCTTTTCTATAATACTCTTTAAAAACCATAATTGAATCTTTCACTGTTTTATGCCAAAATCAAGATCTCTTGCATAATATACAATTATGTTAACATAAAGGAGCTTAAGTGATTCAAGATTTAGATACCTTGTTTCTGAATTTTCTGTTTATCCAAAAGAACTACTCTGATAAATAAGTCAATCTATTCTATTTTATAGAAACTGGAACTTCTCTAAGCACTAATATTTACCTATTTAAATAATCTATACATCATTGTATTAAATAAACAATTTACTAACAATTTTAGGTATACAGAGGCTAAAACTTTGCAACATGCTTTATTTAGTTTCAATAGGCAATTTTTTCCCTTGCATTTTGATGACCTCTGGCTTTCCTAGTTAGTATAACATGTTCTAAAATAATTTATATTTAAACTAGTTGCATTTCATACATCCCTATGTTAGGAAATCCTGCTCAAATTTCTTCCATATCAAGACTTAATTTAAAATGATAATTTTAAACTATCACAGGTATACACAAATATTTTGTACATATATGCATATATATTTACGAACACAATGTCAAGTTCTATGTGCCATAAATAAAAAATGATCCATGAAATTCGATGCTTTGATTTCTAAACGTGGCTGTCTTTTATGGTGAGGGGGGTATTTGTTTCAGCTATATTCAACATATTTTACCAAAAATAATGATTCACCTGTAATCTCAGATCTAACATTATCCATAAATTTATGAGGATATCAACTGATATATTTTAAAAAGCAGTACAGTTGGGGCTTAGAATAATATGCAGTCTATGGAGCAGAGAAACATCAGTCCTGCAATTCATAATGGATTGCCACTGACCTTTTGTTTCTCAATTTTGTTTCCTCCCTAGGTTCTTTGCCTGTGAATTCCACTCCATTTCTACTAATGTTCTAGATTCTGGCTCTAAACTTGGCTAAGTAGACTGAGAGCCTAAAATCACATTCTCAGTTCCTGGCATTTATTTCCCTCAGAGATGTACTTTTTATACCCTTAGATGCAATTCCCTCTTATATAATATCAGCAAACCATATGACATGATGTAATACAAGTACCTATCTTTCACCCTTTTCATACTTTTAAAATTCAACATTCAGAAAACTAAGATCATGGCATCTGATCCCATCACTTCATGGCAAATAGATGGGGAAACAATGGAAACAGGAAGAGACTTTATTTTTGGGGGCTCCAAAATCACTGAAAATGGTGACAGCAGCCATGAAATTAAAAGACGCTTGCTCCTTGGAAGAAAAGCTATGACCAACCTAGACAGCATATTAAAAAGCAGAGACATTACTTTACCAACAAAGATCCATCTAGTCAAAGCTATGGTTTTTCCAGTAGTCATGTATAGATGTGACAGTTGGACTATAAAGAAGGCTGAGTGCTGAAGAATTGATTCTTTTGAACTGTGGTGTTGGAGAAGACCTATGAGAGTCCCTTGGACTGCACGGAGATCCAACCAGTCCTTCCTAAAGGAAATCAGTCCTGAACATTCACTGGAAACACTGATGCTGAAGCTGAAACTCCAATACTTTGGCCACCTGATCTGAAAAACTGACTCATTTGAAAAGACCCTGATGCTGGGCAAGGTTGAAGTTGGGAGAAGAAGGGGATGACAGAGGATGAGATGGTTGGATGGCATCACTGACTCACTGGACATGAATTGGAGTAAGCTCTGGGAGTTGGTGATGGGCAGGGAAGCCTGTCACCCTGCATTCCAGGGGTCGCAAAGAGCTGGACACAACTGAGTGGTTGAACTGAACTAGTTCTAACAGCGTTAGCTGATATATCAAAGTGGCTATGATTTGCATTTCTGTGAAAGTTAGAAATGCATTTCAATTTTTTTGTTGGGCATATATATGTTTTCTTTGGAAAAATTATTCGATGTGTCTGATCAGTTTTAAATCAGATTATTTTACTATTAATTGTATGAGTTTTTTAAAGTTAAATTTTATTGGAGTATAGTTGATTTACAACGTTGTGTTAATTTCTGCTGTCGTTGTTGTTTAGTTGCTCAGTCATGTCTGACTCTTTGCGATCCAATGAACTGTAGCTTGTCAGGCTCCTCTGTCCTTGGAATTCTCCAGGCGAGAATACTGGAGTGGGTTGCCATGTTCCTCTCCAGGGGATTATCCCAACCCAGGAACTGAAACTTTGTCTCCTGCTTGGCAAGCAGATTCTTTACCACTGAGCCACCATTTCTGTCATACATCAGAGTAAATTGAGAGATTGGGTTTGACATATGAGTTCTTTTTATTTGGGGGATATTAATGCCTTATCAAATATGTGGCTTGCTAATATCATCTGTCAGTTGCCTTTTCTTTCTTTCTTCTTTTTTGCTGTGCAGAACTTATTATTTTGTTGTGGTCCCACTTGTTTACTTTTGTTCTTATTGCTGTGCTTTTGGGGTCAATCCAAAAAACTGTTGCCAAGACCAATGTCAAGGAACATGTTCCCTATTTGTTCTTCCAGGAATGTTTTAGGTTTTTGTTTTTATGTCTAATTCTTTATCCATTTCATGCTAAGTTTGTGAGTGGCATTTGATAGAGGTCCAGTTTCATTCTTCTGGACATGGTAATCTGGTTTTCCTACGTTGTATATTGAAAAGGACTATCCATTTTCCACCTATTGTTATTGGACCTCATGTTGAATATTAGTTGCCCATATTTCTTACAGTTTTTTTTTTTTTAACTCTCAACTCTGTTTCAGTGGTCTTTGCCCATATTTTATGCCAGTGTCATTTCAGTTCATGATTACTATTTCTTAGTAACATAACGAAATCAGGAAGTGTAATATCTTCAGCTTTGTCTTTCTTTTGGAGATTGTTTTGGTGATT